TGAAGGTTGTAGGACTTGTTATAATCATCCTATATAATAAAAGCTTAATATGCTAAGTGTCTGGTCGTTCAGTTGGCCATTCAACCAAACAAAGTGTAATATGCTAATGATATGCTAAGGCTGCTCAACTGCTCACTATGATGTGCACTGACTACCAGGGGGCAGATGCTCCAACTGGTAGGTTAGCTTGCTGCTGGGATCCAGCTGATCAGGACTGAGTGAGTTGGGCTGGACAACCCCTGGAGCCTTACAGCTGGCCAACCTCCCACATCCCTCCCTGACCCTGATCCTGCACTGGTGGGGTTCCTCTGCCAGGCCTGTGCCTTTCGCAATCCGGGACTCCCAGAAATGTTGGAGAACCGTTTCAGCCAGACAGCGGATGACCACTGTGATGCACACTGACCACCAGGGGGCAGACGCTCAATGCAGGAGCTGCCCCCTGGAGGTCAGTGGGCTCCCAAAGCAAGCGGGAGCAGTGTTCAACCGGAAGCTGGGCTCACAGCTGGCGAGCACAGTGGCAGTGGCGGGAGTCTCTCCCACCTCTACATCAGTCAGACATCCCCCGAAGGCTCCTGGACTGCAAGAGGGGGCAAGCTAGGCTGAGGGATCCCCCTCCCCAAGTGCATGAATTTCATGCACCCAGGCCTCTAGTAAATTATAACTTGCCAGCCCTAACTGGTTTGGCTCAGTGGATAGATCGTTGGCCTGCGAACTCAAGGGTCCCAGGTTTGATTCCAGTCAAGGGCAGGTACCTTGGTTGCGTGCACATACTCAGCATGGAGTGTGCAGGAGGCAGCTGGTTGATATTTCTCTCTCATCGATGTTTCTGACTCTCTATCCCTCTCCCTTCCTCTCTGTAAAAAATCAATAAAATATATTTTTAAAAATTATAACTTGCCAGAAACTATAACCTGTGGTCTAATTTGAAGTTAGTATACCTTGATTTACTCTTGGTAATTATCATATGACAACTTCTAGCCTGGGTAGTTTCCCAAAGATCTTTAGGCATCTTGTGCTCAAATATGCAACCCTGCCTGGGTTAAGGTCAACTTCTTTGAAGTTTTTCCATCATCAAGTGTCATTAAAACACCTCCAGCCACAAAACACCTGCTGTTGGATCCTCCCAACATAGTACCAATCAACCTCGCCTCACAACCTCTTCACCATGTTGTGATTGTAACACGTGTGTGTATTTCAATATTTATACCCTATTTAGACAAAACATACTTGAACAGAAGCATAACCACAGGCAGATAAACTGAGGGAATAACTATCCTCCAAGCTACACCTCAGAGCAGAGGTGAACCCAAGTCACCTTTGGGAGAATACTGTAAATCTCAACATCTCACTCAGGGGCAACATTAAACCAAGGACTCACTATGTATTAATGCTCACATTCCTTCAGTGAATCACCATCAAATAGTAGTGCTTTTTGAAGAAAACTATGAAACACTGATAAGTTTAATTTCATCACACAAACCACAGAACATTTTACTGGCAGAAAATATATTTGCCATATAATATAATGTACATGAACACACATACACACAGTCCATATGAACTCTAATGGCTATTTCAAAATTTTTATTCTCTGTTATTTGTTTATATATTTTGTTCTCAGTGGATCTCTGTAGATGGCAACATATGAATAGTAGCAAGTATAAAAAGCTTAAGAAAAATATCGATACTATTAGCGTATGGGAGAAGAGTGGAAGGAGTGAATAGAGGAAATGGGACATTTAAAATACTTTCAACAATAAAAATTAATTTAAAAAAAAAGAGAAAGATATAATGGAAATATTTTTTTCATCTCAAAACAAAGCAAAAACAACCTTTTTCCCAAAAGGCAATTTGAGACACTACAGTCACCTCCAGAGAACAGTTTCTTTTACAAAACTTGTTTGAAAACCAGGGGACTCAAAGCAACCTTATTATAAAGGACCAGCACTAAGGACCAGCTTTACTATCAGGAAAGCCACAGAGAAGAATAAAGAAAAGGCTTAAATACTAGTAGACATAAGAACACTTGGGGGTTACATAATGGTCATAATAAACATTGCATGGACCTTTACAGACTGAAAATGCATTTCTATAAACATTGCAGCTCCATTGTTTACTCCATCCTACATATGAGCAAACTGAGACAAGGAAAGGTACGGAAAGGAGTATCCACCTGAAGTAATAGTCCCTGGGTTATATCTATTTATATTTACTGCACTATAAATTAAAATGGACTCGTTTGTACAATATTTTGTAAAATATTTTATTTTTTTCATTCATTCAAAATAATAATATATCAACTTTATGTTACCATAAATAATGTTTTGTGAAAAACAACTGTATTTTCCAAACAAGAGAGTGAGAAGAATGACATGATTTTATATTTTGTAAACATGTTTAGTGCCTGCTTGAACAGAAGATTGCTAGATTCTTATATCTGTCTCTGTATTCATCTATGGTGATATCACACAGCATAGAATCTCCATAAAATGCCATTGTATACGAATGAAAGTGAAAAAGGCACATAACAAATATAATATTATGAAAATAGATGTGCCCTTGTGGGCCTCAGGAAGAGTTTTGGGGGCTTCAATGGGTCCCCAAACCACATTTTGAAAATACAATTAGAGTTAATCCCTTAATAGCACTCAAACATGAGTCTATTCAAGGGAGTCTGGGTGATAGAAGAAAGTACAGTAATAGATCAAAGATAGTGAATTTGGATATGAAAGACAAAGAACATACTGGTAGTCCTAACCCCTTGAAGGAGAGTCTGGGCAGTAAAATAATAAAACAAAAGTTGGTGAATAAAATAAAAAGCAAATAAGATTATGAACTCTGATACCAGGACAGAAACTGTCTCCTCCTCTATGCCATATCTTTACAGATTTAACTCCACCTGGGTGATTTCTGGTCTATAGAAGAGTTAGATCCTAGTAAGTGAATCCAGCCATTAGTGGTAACAGCAAGGGTATAAGATTATATCATAAGTAAGATTAATTTTTCCTGGAAGTACTTTTAATGTCTTATACAAGTATTTCTCAAATCTGTAGTAAGAGTATCAGTAGCATTTTTTAAAATAGTATTTGAAGCATACATGGTAACATTTGTAATAGCTGTGGTATCTAGAAAAGACATCAAGGAATCTGAGGCTATTGCAGTATTTGGAATAAAAACACTCCTGGAGTTATCTGCATCAGCAATATTTACTGAATGCTCTGTACTCTTCATAGTATTGGTGGTGGGAATAACTGTGTTACTTGGAATTTAAGTGTTTGTAAGGGCAGTGTCAGAAGTAGTGTTTGATTTTGTAGTTTTTGTGCTAAAAACAGATGTAGTGATGGTGGTAGTATATGCTGTGGTGGCATTTCCACTAACTTTAGTAGTAGGTTTAATACCTGTAGTGTTTGTATGTGAGGAAGTGGCAATATTTTGAGTACTAGTAATTATTATACCATTAGTAGCTGGGCTGTTTCTAGTGGTAGTATTTATGTCAGTAACACGAGTTGTCATATTGGTAGTATTTCTATTGGTGGTGCTTTGAGTGCTCCTGGATGTGGTATTTAAAGCATGGGTAGAGGTAGATGGAGGATAAGTAGTGGTACTGATTCTGGTCAGGGCATTATCTGTGGTGGTGACACCAGGGGTGCTTGTAGGAGGTAGAGTTGATGTGATCTGAGTAGTAGTTTGTTCAGAAGTAGCATTTGTAATCAAAGTAACTGTGGTGATACCTGTAGTTGTTTTTGTGTTTCTAGCAGTGGTAGTATTTAAAACAATTGTAGTAACTGAATGCATGCTAGTAGTATCAGTCTTAGTATTTGTAAGAGGAGGAATAGTTGTAATCGGACGCATATTATTAGTGCTAGTAGTACTGGTACTTGTTGGGGAAAGAGCAGTGGTAGTATTAGTAGTTCTTGTTGGGAAAAGGGTGGTTGTGGTGGGAAATGTAACGTAAGTGCTAGCAGTAGTAGTATTTGCTGGGGAAAGGGTAGTAGCATTAGGAATAGTAGTATGACTTGTAACTTTAATAGTACTTGTTGGGAAAGAAGTAGTTATGATAGGAAAGGAAGTACCAGTGCTAGCAGTAGTAGTATTTGTAGGGGAAGGAATAGTTGTAGTAGTGGTTGTGATAGGAATGGCAGTACCAGTGCTAGCAGTAGTAGTATTTGTAGGGAAAGGAGTAGTTGTAGTAGTGGTTGTGGTAGGAAAGGCAGTACCAGTGTTAGCAGTAGTAGTATTTGTAGGGAAAGGAGTAGTTGTAGTAGTGGTTGTGATAGGAATGGCAGTACCAGTGCTAGCAGTAGTAGTATTTGTAGGGAAAGGAGTAGTTGTAGTAGTGGTTGTGGTAGGAAAGGCAGTACCAGTGTTAGCAGTAGTAGTATTTGTAGGGAAAGGAGTAGTTGTAGTAGTGGTTGTGATAGGAATGGCAGTACCAGTGCTAGCAGTAGTAGTATTTGTAGGGAAAGGAGTAGTTGTAGTAGTGGTTGTGGTAGGAAAGGCAGCACCAGTGCTAGCAGTAGTAGCATTTGTAGGGAAAGGAGTATTAGGAATAATAGTACTAGGTGTAACTTCAATAGTACTTGTTGGGAAAGAAGTAGTTGTAGTAGGAAAGGCAGTACCAGTGCTAGCAGTAGTAGCACTTGTAGGGAAAGGAGTAATTGTAGTAGTGGTTGTGGTAGGAAAGGCAGTACCAATGCTAACAGTAGTAGCATTTGTAGGAAAAGGAGTAGTTGTATTAGTGGTTGTGGTAGGAAAGGTAGAACCAGTGCTAGTAGTAGTAGTATTTGTAGGGAAAGGAGTAATTATAGTAGTGGTTGTGGTAGGAAAGGCAGTACCAGTGCTAGCAGTAGTAGCATTTGTAGGGAAAGAAGTAGTTGTATTAGTGGTTGTGGTAGGAAAGGCAGTACCAGTGCTAGCAGTAGTAGCACTTGTAGGGAAAGGAGTAATTGTAGTAGTGGTTGTGGTAGGAAAGGCAGTACCAATGCTAACAGTAGTAGCATTTGTAGGGAAAGGAGTAGTTGTATTAGTGGTTGTGGTAGGAAAGGTAGTACCAGTGCTAGTAGTAGTAGTATTTGTAGGGAAAGGAGTAATTATAGTAGTGGTTGTGGTAGGAAAGGCAGTACCAGTGCTAGCAGTAGTAGCATTTGTAGGGAAAGGAGTATTAGGAACAATAGTACTAGGTGTAACTTCAATAGTACTTGTTGGGAAAGAAGTAGTTGTGGTAGGAAAGGCAGTACCAGTGCTAGCAGTAGTAGCACTTGTAGGGAAAGGAGTAATTGTAGTAGTGGTTGTGGTAGGAAAGGCAGTACCAGTGCTAGCAGTAGTAGCATTTGTAGGGAAAGAAGTAGTTGTATTAGTGGTTGTGGTAGGAAAGGCAGTACCAGTGCTAGCAGTAGTAGCACTTGTAGGGAAAGGAGTAATTGTAGTAGTGGTTGTGGTAGGAAAGGCAGTACCAATGCTAACAGTAGTAGCATTTGTAGGGAAAGGAGTAGTTGTATTAGTGGTTGTGGTAGGAAAGGTAGTACCAGTGCTAGTAGTAGTAGTATTTGTAGGGAAAGGAGTAATTATAGTAGTGGTTGTGGTAGGAAAGGCAGTACCAGTGCTAGCAGTAGTAGCATTTGTAGGGAAAGGAGTATTAGGAACAATAGTACTAGGTGTAACTTCAATAGTACTTGTTGGGAAAGAAGTAGTTGTGTTAGGAAAGGCAGTACCAGTGCTAGCAGTAGTAGCACTTGTAGGGAAAGGAGTAATTGTAGTAGTGGTTGTGGTAGGAAAGGCAGTACCAGTGCTAGCAGTAGTAGCATTTGTAGGGAAAGGAGTAGTTGTATTAGTGGTTGTGGTAGGAAAGGTAGTACCAGTGCTAGTAGTAGTAGTATTTGTAGGGAAAGGAGTAATTATAGTAGTGGTTGTGGTAGGAAAGGCAGTACCAGTGCTAGCAGCAGTAGCATTTGTAGGGAAAGGAGTATTAGGAACAATAGTACTAGGTGTAACTTCAATAGTACTTGTTGGGAAAGAAGTAGTTGTGGTAGGAAAGGCAGTACCAGTGCTAGCAGTAGTAGCATTTGTAGGGAAAGAAGTATTAGGAACAATAGTACTAAGTGTTACTTCAATAGTACTTGTTGGGAAAGAAGTAGTTGTGTTAGGAAAGGCAGTACCAGTGCTATCAGTAGTAGCATTTGTAGGGAAAGGAGTAGTTGTATTAGTGGTTGTGTTAGGAACGGCAGTATCAGTGCTATCAGTAGCAGTATTTGTAGGGAAAGGAGTAGTTGTATTAGTGGTTGTGTTAGGAAAGGCAGTATCAGTGCTAGCAGTAGTAGCATTTGTAGGAAAAGGAGTATTAGGAACAATAGTACTAGGTGTAACTTCAATAGTACTTGTTGGGTAAGAAGTGGTTATATTAGGAAAGGCAGTACTAAGGTTAGCAGAAGTAGTACTTGAAGCAAAACTAGTAACAATAGACTCAGTAATGGTAGCATTAATAGTTGATATAGTATCTGGAGATGTTGATGAGAAGGTACTGGTCATAGGTGTAGTAGTAACGTCGGGACTATGACTCCAAGTGACCTCAGTTAAATTTTCCAGACTGAAATTCCCATAAGTCAATTGAATAGTTAGTGTCTGCCAAAAAAGAAGAGATAACATTGGTATTTTAGGACATCTTGAACATCACATTTAACAACACAAATAATGTTCATGTTTTTTCCCCCCCAGAGAGTAACAGAAGGTTCCTTTTCAGGTCACATTGATTCCAGACAGATGAATATAGAGAGATGTGCTGGGGCATAATCCCTGTGCCTGAAATGTGTCTTTCTACTTCATTTAGTCAGAACTACACTGCTCACAAGAATTGGTATCTTTGATTAAAACCAACACTCATAAAAGTATCTTTGTTTTACCACTAGATTTTAAACTCCTAAAGGCAGGCTGGTTTCATGTTTTTACCATTCCCAACACATAGTATACTGCCTGGCACATAATAATGTAGTGTAAACCTTGAGATTTGGATTTCTTTTTTTCCCCTCCATCTCTTCTTTTTTTGTTTCTTTTGTGTAAGGCAAGTGCCTCACTTAAGCTTCAACTGACAGATCTGTCCATTTCAAAAAGGCATCTATTTCCAGCCCACTGAGGCTCCTTTGTTTTTCAGATCTTGGTTGATTTCAATAACTAATCAACTTAGCCCCCTAGTTTGTTTCTCTTCTTAAGTTTGAAATTCACCATGTGTCAAAATCAACAATAAAGAATGAGCCCTGGAAGCCCTAGATTCCTTCCCAACAAAAAAAGCTGAACCCTAGGCTTTTGCCCATTCTCTCCCCCCACCCACCACCACCAGGACCTCCTTGTATGGCCCAGGTGTGCTGTGAAATTTCCATGACTTATAAGTTATAAGCCTGCATCTTTTCAATTTCCTGATTGTTATTACTGAAAAACTTATTTTACCCATAATAAGAACCACATGAGCTGGTCCAGCCACTACTTTGGTTATTGATAGGTTGAGACCAGCACAAAACATATGGGCATCTGATATGCTACAAACTTCCCCCAAAAGAAAGTGTTCAAAAATCTTCTGTATCAATCTTAACTGGGAGTATTTACTTGCAAAAGGTGGTTTTGAGCTAAATGGTTCAGGAAAAATGTTCTGAAGTAGAGAACTAAATTATATGAAATATAGCATAGGGAATATAGTTAATAATAACTGTGTATGGTATTAGATGGGTGTCAGATTATTGGAATGATCACTTACTAAGTTATGAAATGTCTAATCACTAAAATGAACATACGAAACTAATATAATAATGTATGTCAAATATAAATAAAAATAAACAAAATTATTTTAAAAATCAGTTCTCAGTAACTTAAAAATTTTAACAAAATTGGAGAGAGAGGATCTGTTTGAATGTTCAGAGGGTCATTGTCCAAAATTCAAGTACCAACAGGACAGTTTTTTTTTTATCTTTTAGAAAACAAGAATTATACTTATCCATTTTTACCCTCCAAACCACTCCCTGTGAGTTATGAATCCATATTTATGATAGATCTAGTGTTCAAAAGTGGGATACTTTTCCTTCTGCTGTTACTCTTGATAACTCTACTTGAAATTGGTCTTCAATTACTTGGCTATGGCCACTAACCAAATCATTGAACTCACATCACAGGTAGCATATATTCATTTTTATAATTACCACCAATTTTCTGCCAATTTTTACCAACCTATAAGATATACTGATTTGACCATGAGGTGAGTAATTTCAGGAAGAAGGGAGAAAAATCTCCAATAACAATTTTATTAGGAAATGTTTTCCTTTGTTTGAGCATCTGTCACATACATTAAGTTTTGTTATGCTGGCCTGGGAGACCAAACTTAACACATAGCACAGTTTCTTTAGGAAACAGATAGAAAGGATTTCATCACACCATTGATCATTGCTCCCTTGATTATACTGGGGAAGACTACTAATATTTTATATTTTACACTATAATTTAATAGTCACAACCTTTCTGGAACATACCTATTGTATATATCTATAACCTTTCAAATATAAGTAAATATAACAGTGATGATAATAGTGGTGGTAACTTTGCTGAATAAAATTAATTCATGACATAACAACATCCCTTTGAGACATACCTGATTGTAGGGGTCACTCATGAAATTTGTTGTCATGAATTGCTTGTTGTTATAGGTGACATTAACTTGTGTCACATAAGTAGAGAGGATCCCCCAGATTTTAATATATCCAACTTTCAGTTCATTTGAGCCATTCAAATACTTATTGTGCATGGTCTGGATTTGTAATATGTCCTATAAATAAAGTATAAAGATAAAAATATATAATATATCTGTGGACTGCCTATATTCTACATTAAAATGTTATGCCTCAAATTACTATTGTTGTACTGGTTTGCTGTTTATTCTTAATTAAACATTTCATAAAGACTACTTTCTGAGTACCAGCTACAGTAAATTTGATGATACCCAATATTATTGTAGCTATCATATTGGATAGTGCAACTCTAAGATATTCTCTCCATCCTGGGTACCATGTTTTAAGACAAATCTATAATATTAATTGCAGTCCAATAGAATAATCAGATCTGAAAACTAGTTTAAACACAAAACAGAGGAAGTTTCCCTGGAGGTTATGATTCCGAGAAGAGAGAACAGAAAAGAAATATGACAGACATTGTCACATACTTGAAGCACTATCTATAATAATAAAAGCAAAATATGCTAATTAGATTGGACATCCTTCTGGAAGTCCTTCTGGAGCTGCAAGGGAAGCCCGGGTCCCAGGTGCCAGTGGGAATACTGTGTCCCAGGTGCCAGAGGGAAGCCAGTGCTAGCAGCCAGGGGAAGGAGGCCTACTCTTCCATGAATTTCATGCATTGAGCCTCTAATTATGTATAAAAGACACAATAAGTTTCTGTTATACTCTTCCTTAGTTCAAGTCATGGGGGGGGGGGGGGAATGAAAGAAGGTTCCGGGTTTGACATAAAATGATCTTCCTACTCTAATTAGAATTTTGTAGGTTATCCATGGAATCACAAAACATGCATGACAGATTGATTGAATCACTGTCTCAAATTATTTACTCCTCCTTATCTATATCCTTTTTTATGTAATTTTTAAATACCCTCCTGCTCTGGTGCTTGATGGGGCATTCCATCCCACCTTTGTTTTTGCACTTGGCCATGTGATGTACTAATGGGATATTAGTCAACTTGATGCAAATGGGGATTATAAGAAGTTCTCAGGCATTTATATTTCTGTTTTTCCCCTTTTCTACAATCCTGAAAAAGTCATGCCCAGACTTACCCATAAGGCCATCTTAATCACTCAAGAGCCATATGACCAAAGGTATGTGAGTGAATACAGCCAGAATCATCCAAGCAGCCTAACCATACCCCAATTGATTGCAGATATAGGTAAGCCAGCCAAGATCAGCCAACTCCAGCTCAGATCAACTGAACAATGTAAACTCATGAGCTAAATAAGTGTTTATTGTTACATACTGCTCAATTTTTTCGGTTGTTTGTTGTGCAATGAGTAGCAGATGTAGCATCTATTCTTCAAAACTTTATCAGCCAGAAAATGCTGTCTTAATCCCAGAAAACATGTTATACATATAAGGATTTATTCCCCTCCTCCCCATAGTATAATATGAACGACAAGTTTCTTTTTATAGATTGATAGTAAATTGGATAATTATCAAAATAAGGACTGTTTCTTCCTTATTTTAATGTCAACAAACATGATTTACAAAGGAAGGGAGGTCTTCCTATTAAGACATGGGATATTACATCTATACAGTTAATGAATAATGCTTAATCTGTAACTAACTGGTAGAGGATTTATAAAATTCAATTTTAAAAGTCTTACCTGACTTGCTGTAAAGTTTGCCAAAAAATATTTTCCATTTTCAAAGGTATCTGAAACCAAGAAAATAGATTAAGCAATTATTCGTTACTTCAACTGCAGCAGATAATCTTACACGGACTCAGAAAATGCCTCAATGGGATCACAATTACTGATCAATATAATATTGACTTCTCTGAGGAACACTAAAGACAGGAGCTGAGGGAATATGGAAGAGAGTGTTTTGAGGTAAGGGTCAGGAGGTTAAAAGACCAGAGGACTAAGGTCTCCAATCATAGGTGAAGAAGTGTGAAGGTTACTGATCAGTTATTTTCTGTGCCAACATAGCAAGCACATAGCTATGAGAGCTCACATGGATATGATGATACAATTAAAGGAGAGAAGTTAGGGATTCTGACTCTCACGTCAGATTGGCATGGGTTCAAACCCCACTCTTGCACTTGGTAGTTGTGTAATCTCAGGCAAGTCACTTAACATTTTATCATCCATAAAATGAAGGAAAAAAAAATAGGACTAACTCATGGGAATAAAGTACAGAACATGTTGCTTGTGCAGAATAAGTGTTCAAAATTTTTTTCAATATCATCATCAAAATTATTGTAATTTTCATCTTTAATATTCTATCTCTACTTAGCTCATACTTCCAAAGCATTCTACATCCCAAGCCCTCTTGCCTCCCAAGACTTACTCCATCTATTCTTGTCCATATCCTCCTTGCTCCTCCAAACTCTAATTATGCTCCAAAGCACTTCATTCTGACAAATCCTCAACTTGATTCTTTGTACATCAAGTTACCATATCTCTTTTTTAGTGGCACATGTCTCAAAAAATGTAGCCTTTGCTTGTTATGTCTGTTTACTCAACTCATAA